GTATACATGTTCTGCACGAATATTACCAACTGATATTTGGACATTTTGCATATAATCCTAAACAGCGAGTGATGACTGAAAAAATACCTGACAACTACCATTCTCCCGCCTAGTTTGGGCAATAACTTGGAACAACAAATTGGCCGTTTCAATGCTTATCATAATTGTCGCTCAGACTTGCCTTTCTCTGTGACTCACACAAGAAAAGCTCATAACAAATTCTGAGAAAATGTAACTCGTAAATGAGATCTTACAGTTCTGCCACAATTTCAATTACTACTTTAATAATAATCATTTCATTAAATATTCTAAAATAAATAGAAGTCTTTGAAGGCAAAATTAATAATGCGTGCTAAAGTTATCCTGTAACTGACACAAATAATTTAGCATAACAAACTTAAAGTATAAAAAAGCTTAATAGCAAAGCAAATAAATAAACGTTTTGTCTTTTTTAGAGGTAAAATTAAACTCGAAAAGGAATAAATAATTCTAACAGATCAATGGATTGCAAGGGAAAAAGCGAGTAGCCAACAACGATGATAATTTATTTACCGCCATTCCCTCCTCAATTTCTACCTCAGTGTCATTTTCAGAAGTTATTGACGGATCTTCTAAGCATAATTTACTTACCAATATATAAACTACTTTCATATATGTATGATAATAGTTTTTTATTTATTCATATTTAAGGGATGTAACGTGAAATAAATTCAGACTATTACCAGCTTCATATCACAGCCATGCATAATGATGGATGAATTAATGATAATTATGAATTATATTCATATGTATGTCTAACTTTACGTAACTTTACGCAAGGCGAAAAATAAAAAATAGGAATAAAACATGTGTAAGGAAAGGAGAGGTTGAAAGATGAAGTGCTGCACTGAGAATAAATGCCATACCCTTCTTCGATGAATAAGCAATCGATCACAAGTAAAAAACTCTCCCAAAAATGAATCAAATACAACGAACTTCACTCGTTTATCGATTGATACTTAATACGAGAATTTACTCATTAGTTCACCAATGCCTCCTACTACTACAGCAAATAGCAGAACAAAAGACTCGGAGCAGCTATATGCACACAAACACGAACACTGCGAGTCGCTGAGTATATCTGATTCATTACTGACCTGTAAGCCACCTACCTTATCTATCGACTTTAAAATAATCAATCGTTTTTTAGTAAGAGAGAACGACAGATATACTACAGCGAAAATCACTAAGGGTAGTTCAGAGGGAAAGAACGAAATTACAAAGTCTATTTTCATTCTGCATTTAATTGTCATTTATTTTACTCTCAAGGAACAGAATTGTTCTTTCAATCAGTAAAAGACTAAGACACCACAAGTATGCAATCGATATCTGTTACGAGAACTTGCTCAATAAATTTGAAAAATTACATATTTTCTATGCACATGGGAAGCAGTGAGTGATCGGTGGTCTCATCTGCTTGACAGCAATAAATCAGCGTTTGCATGCATTAAACATTTGTTTGTGGACTACGGTAAGAACCAGATGACAATAAAAAAGGATAAAATTGATAATTCATTAAATTTCGATTCTATGCTTTGATCAAACGAAGAAATATGGATTCACTTATTAAAGAAGTGCTGCAAGATTTGGAGTGACTACTCAATTTTACAAAGTAGTCATTAACTACCATAGAATTATCTACGTAACTAGCTATAAACATGTAATTATAGCTTGATCATAATTTTATCTTATTGCTTCTGCTGGAATTCTGCTGCTGAAAATTCCGTCTCAATACACAATAAACCACACAACTGTACATCATCCTCGCATTTTATGAGCTTGTTTCTTCATGCTTACTATGATTTTGTCATCAATTCATGAATTGAAAATATCGAAAATTATTTTTTAGAGATTAATCTAATTTCCTTCTCAAGTCTTTACGTGCAGTTAAATGATCTGTTACAAATTATTTATTCTTTTTCGAATTTAGATTAATCAAAACGATTAATCACGTTACTCCCAAGCCTTTTCACTTTCAAAAAGCTGCAATGAGATTTAAGAAGAAAATGTACAGTGAACCAATAAGATTAGCGGGCAAGCAGTTCGTGGCAATACCCTCTTTAAATACATAAGAAAATGGCGATTATGACTGAAGTCATAATTGGACAAGAAGGAGAATCTACGAAAGTTGAAATTATAATGAATTCGCTGTCATAAACGATAATTCCACTACCTTTACCCGGAGGTGTACTCATCATTATTCTAGCTGCCTTCAAAAAAAATGGTGCTGCCAATTTGTTCCGATTTATGATTGAAAAAAACGAATTAATGACTGTTCAATTATGATAAAGCAGATTCTTCCCAGAATTAAAAGTTGATGGATTGGACAAAATTAAGAAATGATCCTTCTAAAATCAGACAATTTGAATGTGCACATATGAAAACAATAATTTGAATAAACATGTTTACCAAATTTATTTGGTTGATTACTGTAATTATCATTGTAACCACCGCTACCAATGTTGCTAGTCTTTCCACCGCTTAGTATTCCACCTAAAATCCATATGTACTCAAACTATTACTGCTTAAGCAATTTCAATTTCATTAATGAGTCTGAAACAAATAAATATGGAGCAAACAATAAAATTAAATTCTAACCTTCAAAGCATGCATGAATGTCAGGTACTCAGAAAAAAGACCCAAAAATATCAAAACTGATACCGATAAGATTTCCAACGAGACCGATTCCACTACCAGTATCATTATTATACTCTTCGCGTTTATATCTCTCTTCATTATCATATCCTCTACTATCGTAGCCACCGTATCCACCTCTCTGATTGTAACCCTCGCCACCATACGCACTTCCTCGATTATAACCATATCCACCTCTTTCATTATAACCTCCTCCCCCATAACTGCCATTTCCTTGACCCTGACTTTCTGCAAAGATTATAACTGTCGTCATTAGGATTATATTCGCCTAAAATACACGAATGAATTTTACAATTTACAATAAACTGGAAGTCTCTCTTCCATTAATATCACTTTCAATAAGATGGAATAATTTTTTGTAGTAGATAATGTAACTATAATCTATTGTGTAAATCATTTATAACAGTTTTACTATATTATCATAGATATCAAAAAGGTAAAGCTAACCTGCACCAAACTGCCCCATTAATCCCTGGAAGAGGTCACCAGCAGTCCCACCAATTCTGTCACGAATAATACCGCTGGCAACGTTGCTGACCAAACTACTGCCACCGATATTGCTAATCAAACCAGTGAATTCTTCATCTTGGAGTTTGATCTAAAATCCAATTTGAGATCATGTTCAGCCCAAAGTCACAAATACTTGCATTCACGATTCATAATCATCAGTTAATTCGATCTAAGAATTTTTAGATCAGAATTACATCAGACCAAATCACAGTTTGCCAAATTGATTCCGATTTATGAGCGAATAAATTTTGCACGCTTGCCAAATGTACTCATTTCATAAAATTTCTTTCGCGACTATTTCGTTCTTTCCTTTGGTCAGATTTTTCGATCACAGTAAATAAGCAATTGTCAAGCAAACTTACTGCCACGCACTCCTCATCGCTATCTTCAGCCATTTTGCAGCACTGATAAGTCTAATGATGCAGAAGACCTGGAAATATTGCTGAAAAATACTTTCTCTGATTTAGTTTTGCATATTTGCGACGCAGTGAAACAACACACATTTAAACTTACATTCGCTCCTTGAGAGCAACGAATCAAATAAAACGAGATAAAGAGGAATAACTTTATACAATGTTGTGTCTAATTTGAAGCAACATCTTATAAAAATTATAGATAACAACCTATTTTGCTCAATCCATCAGTAAAACATGCAGTTAATGATGGTTAGCAACATTATCTTATGGGAATATACGTAATAGTACTCACCAAGCAGTAAATCATCCTATTTAACCGTTAACAAAATATTATATACCAAAAAGTATTATATATTATCTGCAACATTATACGTAAATTCTTGTCTGTTCACGTTCAATATGCATTTACTTATTTTTTCCTTCTTTCGAAACTAGTAACTGACTAGAGACAAAGTAAGAAGAGAGCAATTATTTCTGTACGTTCCCCGTGCACTGGCATGGTAAAAAAACTGATAACAAACTTGCATGTAAAACGTAATTACCGAAGGACTTTGCAACTTCGTCAGCAATATCAGATTTTCATATTCCAAAAAGATCGCAGCAATCCAAAATTTGCATACAATTTGGATTTATTTCCAAGTTTGTAACAAAAATATGACAAAGTAAAGCACTAAATGAGTCAAAGTTATAAGCAATTCTTATCTAAGCACAATGAATAGACGTGTGATTGACTGCATCCTCTCTGGACTTTTTTGCTGAAATTGCACTAAATTTTGATAATCAAAAAATGCACATTGGAATCGATTGTAGCTCACATACGTACTCACACACACACACACACACACGCACACAACATAACTCACACACAGTGCTGAAATGCATTGTGAACTGCAAAAATGCTGAGAAAAGTGAACGAAGAAATGTGCTACAATTTGTCCAACCATTCAAGCAACATTAAATGTGCGGCACTGTTCTGACTTCGTCACTCAACTTCTCAGTTACCAGTCGATTTCTCTCAGTCACTAAATAAAATCAGTGAGTAACAAACTCACTAACCAACCAACTTACTCACTAACTACGTAGAAGTCAGTTACAAACTTCAGCTGGATAGTGCACTCACGAGCAGTACTGCCCATAAGACAGCAAGAGAGAAATAAGATTCGAGTAAAACATATAATCTGATAAAACACAGAATTAGTCAAAAACAAACCATAAACTGATGTGATCAAAAAATTAAAAGAGATGCCCATCGCTTTAACCTTACAACTTTTGACCTTAATCTTGCTGACATAACTGTGAATAAAATAGTAATCAAGTGTTAATTTTTGCTCGAGTGTGAGCACAATTCAATCCATTAGTTATTTTCTCACACAAGTCAAACAATCGAAATGTTAAATACCTTAAATACTTCTACTTCTAGCAAGTAACAAATACTAAGCAAAACTTTCTGCTTGAATCCAAGATACTTGACAATACTTGATTAAAGACGGAAGTTTGAGCAGCATAGCATATTCGTTGACGGCAGTCAGCATTTTCAACAAATTTTTTATGCAATTCATGTTAACAGCAAATTGATTCCGTCAGAGAATGCATGCTTACTTTTATTGTTTTCCGTTCTCCCTTCGATTTCATCTTATTTCCAGCAAACTACGTAAGTAAGTATAATTTCACTTAATGTGCACATTTTTTCATGATACACTCCGACTAATACATAAGCAGGAAGGACTTAGTTACCGAATAACAACACAAACAGAACTGGCATGAGATAAACTAATGTTGGCAGATCATTTCTGCAGAGTCTCGTTTTTCATCCACACAAATGACATGCACACTTGACTTGTTTAATCATACTGTCGTATCATATTTTACGTTACTTCCACTCGTATTAATTTCAAATACGCAATCATACATCTGTTACTAAGCATTACATACGAAGTGAGTGGAAAAAAATTAGCACTGTGTAAAAAGACAGCACAGACAAAGAGGCAGTGGACTGTGATGAGTTGGCATTTCCCGACAAGGGAAGTGGTTATGGCAATTTGCTAAGATCAAGAATAAGTGTCCAAATATGGAATGAAAAATCAACTGTGTTTAGTAAATATGTAAAGCGCAATGAGTTCAGATAACTCCACAACTGACTTTTTTTGTTAAATTTAAACCGAAATGACGGAAATTTTTAATTAAACTATCAGATTAATTGCTGTCGTACACATTCGCTAATCTTAGAGAAAATACAAATTAAGTCGCATAGTTCTGCAAAATTCAATCAGTTCTTTCCAAAGTATTAACTGATTGCGAATTTCATTGAGTTTGCAAGAAAATTACTGCGCTACTGACATGAATTTTACAAAACTTTTGCAAATTTTCTTCTGAACACAATTTGGTGACTTCTTTATGATGAACTATGATGATCAGTAATTACGAAGTCATCGTTACGGCATTACGGCAGTTAAATTCAAAATTACATTTCAGTTTTGAGAAGTTTCGACAATGTTTGCCATGCAAATATTTATCCACAGTTACGAGCAGCAACTGACCAGAAATAAGAGCAAGGATTTATGTAGTAAAAAAAAGGAGGAAAAGGATTTTTCCCAATCTGAACTAATATATTATTTCTGATGCTAGTAAGAATTATTATTTTGTATAAACTATATTTGAGCTGTGAGACAAATATAAAGTTTTTTAACAAAATATTCACAAAAATATTATCAAGAGTAAGTATGAGAAGATTGATCACTAGAAAAAATTGAAAATTTTTATTATATATTTTGTTTACATTTTTTACTTTCACAGGAAACAGGTGGTTTTTATGATCAAAAAATTAAAGTGCAATAAGCTTTTTAGTAATGCTTGAATATTTATTTTAATGACGCTTTAAATGTAACGATAGATGATCAGATCGAGAAAATGTTCGTAAGCAATGGTTGCAGTGGAAAGGCCGATCGCCAGTGTGCTTGCGGCGGTGTCTAGTTAATTCGTCGGAACGAGCAAAACGCCAATGACATCCTTTCCATTTGCAAACGTACGGCTTCTCACCTGCAAATTCAATGTCTGGCAAAAAATATGAAACATTAAATTAGGAAAGGGTGCCCTAATTTTAAATGCCAATTTCGCTTGTTTTGGTTATCGTTGTAAAACTTGCAAATGCAAATGAATCAGTTCGGTTTTAATTTTAAATTAACACAAAATTCTTCTTTTCATTCCTTTATTGCAATTCATGCCGCAACTCTGCAAAGGTGTTGAAACTTTTAAGCAATCTAAAATGTCAAAATTGAGTCGAAATAGTTTAGCATTAGGTGCTGTAGTGAAAATCATATATTTTATTTGTTTGGCGCATTCATCTGTTTTCTAACAAATTACTGATAATTTATTCTATCCAGCAAAAAGGTATTGAAAGCTGGAGCTTTTACATAAAGTCCATCGCCTTTCAAGAATAAGCAATAAATAAGTTAATGACCTTTGACGTTTAGTTCAAGGAATGAAAAAATGTAAAGAATAAATGATTATCTCAAGAGTAGCTAACTTACCTGTATGTACACGCATGTGTGCTTTTAAATGTGAACTTTTGCTGTAAAATTTATCGCACAATGGATAAGGACATTGGTGTCTTTTCTTTCCCATCGCTAAAAATATAGACATATGCTAAGTTACTCTTCATACTATGCAAATTATAATTTATGCTTCTTTTTTAATGCTATTGCTTATATAAGTCAAAATAGGGTTTTCAAACTGGAGTGAATAATCAACAGTGAGCAAAAGTGAAGCTGAAATACTTGTCTTCTTTTCACATTTTCGTGTAATAATTGCTTGTGGTTGGTTTATTTATGACAGAGAGAAGTTAGAAATCAGACTTTCAATTGCTACGAACAGACACAAATAACATGTGGCCCAAGTGGTGGCAACAGATGCAAATAATACCGAAATTAGCACTTTTTAAGAAAATTCTTTCTAACATAAAAATTCAAGAAAGATTTTTAAGTCTGAAAGTCAATTTTACAAGGTAAAATTTTTGATGCAAAAAAGAATTGCATTTGGGCAAAAGTGAAATTGATAAGCTAATCAGAATTCATATTTTATTTCAACGAATTTCTCAAATATAAATGGGTATTCAGTACATCAGGCAAGTCTGCATACCGATATTGTTTGACTGTTGCGGGCTATTTTGCAGTAGTAAATCTCGATAATTGCTAGTACTAACAATTACACTTTGTCGTGATTTTACTTTCAAAACTGATGGTGAAGTTTGATTTTCCGAATAGATTGCCTTCTCATTTGTTGCTGCATTCTAGAAAAGCTTGCTTAAAATTACCGGCAATTTTAAGACTGAAATAAGAAATTTAATTGAGGAAATTTTTAATTGACTTTTTTGATAATGAATTGCTACGGAGCTTAGCGTCGAATGCAAGGATTAGAACTCATGTTGAAGCAATTGATGTACCTGAACTTCCAAAATATTATCAGTTTGAAGTGACAAAGACATTGGAACAGTTTTTTTTTGTAGACTACGGCTGAGCTTACTGAGCTCACTTTCTGGAAAACATTGGATTTTCAAAATTTCATATTTTGAGTTTGAAAATGTTTTGATAGAACAACCGCTGCAATAAAATATTTACGAAGGTTTACGTAGTGGTACGTAATCACGTAATACTTCATAAAACTCACACTAGTCATAAGCGTAATGAAATGAATGAGATGAAACTTAGCTAAAGATTATGAATGAATAAACACTTCAGTATGACATTACCAAAGCAATACGTTTAATCTATAAAATAAGTACGATATATCGTTTTAAAGGCTTCAAAACAAGCATACTTTAATTATTTCTAATGAGTACACTTCTCAATTATATTTCAGTCTACTTAATACATTTATTGTTTCTGAACTTACACTATAAGCTTAATTTTTGCCAAACTGTTCAGTTAAATTAATGGCTTTTGAGTGATTACTTAAAATCAGTACCTTCAGGAGTGCTCGAAATATTTTTTAAATTCTCCTGCTTACATCTCGGCGGATAATCAAACAGTCGACTATAGTTAAGTACTAGAGGTCTAGACTGAATTACAGGTACTACACTGTAAAATCACTGAGTTTTCATAATATATACATCACACTTTTCAAGGTTTTATGAATTGAAGAAGACAAAATTATCATTATTACTAGCTGAAATGAAATACAAAGTGGTTTGGTAGTATTTTATTTATTCATATGCATCCTTCCCACAATTTTGGAATAAATATGCCAAAATTTAGAAGTTAAGGCACGAAATTGAAAACTTATTAATACTATAATTAAACAATAAAATTTGCTTGGATTGCACATCAAATTTTGAAATTTTTAATAATTTTTGAAAATTATTCCAAAGTCAAATAACAACATTAAATTTATAAATTTTTAATAGCAATTTTTCGAACTTGGCTACTTGACATTCAGCGTTAAGCAGTGATGGCACTTTGGTCTGTTGCAATGGTTGTTGGTATTCTTGCTCTTAAAAACATATTACGATAGTATTTCCGTACTTTTAAAAATTTTCATTTAATAAGTAAATTGCCAAATACTTTAGGGTCAAACTGACCAAACTGATCTCTGTTATTTCCTACTATCTCTGATCTTGTGATTGGCGATTGGGGTAATGCTGATGTTACTGGTGCTGCTGGTGGTATTGGTCCCCCACGATCGTAAGGCAATGTTTCGTAGGGTTTTAATGAGAAAATGTGCTAAAAAAAATTGTTCCTGATAAGAATATCACTATTTAAAAAATCTAAATTGTCTCCAAGTTCCGGTACACTGAAAAATGACTTAAGCTAGCTTAAGGCTTAAAAATTCGTAAACAAACTAAGGTTTAAACTTTTTCTGGGTCTAATTTAGCTTTTATAGACTGAGTTCAATTTCTAAAAGTTTTTGAAATTGACAAAGCAGTTGCTTCAGTTTCAAATGAGTATATAACACAATTTATTTCATGAAATTTTTCATGATAAAAACGCCAAGCATTAAAACTATACAAGTTTTTAGGACTTGAGAATCATCTGTAAATTTGCATACCGAATTACACGCAGAAGTGAATGATATTCTGTTGCAGAGCTCTATATTAGAGATAAGTTGCCTGAAAATGAAATCATAGCTTTGCTTCCAAAAATAAAAACGAAACGAAGTAGACGAAGTAGGAATTCATCACAAATTTAACTTACTTTTGTAAATAATCAAGCAGATTGTTTTCTCCGTAAGTTTGCGGAATGTGTGCCTTTGTGTTCCAATCTTAAAATTCAGCTAGAAAATCATATCAAAGTTTTGCCATACATTTACGTCAGTCTCATTTTCCAACTTTTTAACTTTCTTTTTTGTTGCTGTTCTGCATAAGAAGTGAAATTTTTGGAATGATAATTAATTTTCAATGAAGAGCTGTCTAGCAGACTAAATATCACGAAACGTTATTATACACGTGAGATTAAAACAATGTTCACGGTATGAAAATTAAAACTGAATTTTCTCGTTTTTTAAACGATGAAAAAAAAAGTAAAGATCAACCTGAGTTATAAGTTGTATGCGACGTGTTCAGAAATGATCTACAAGCGTGAACAATCAAATCTGAATGTTTGTTTGGAACAGCAGAATCAAACCACCACACTTCTTCACCAGGTATTTTTATTATCATGTACATCGGTAGTCACATTTTTGGTTTTTTCAAATTGCTATAGTAAATTGGAATTTATGCTGATTATTTATGGATCAAAAAATATAGAATTTAGTGCTGTTAAATAATAATGGGATTATTTTCATGTATTATAACTTAGAATGAAGCTAAACTTTATACTTGTTAGCAGCGAAAATTTCTAATCTTTAAAAAATTCTCTGTTCAAAACTTTCTTTAGGTTTTGCTTAAAGTATTAAATAGGTAAATTTTCATAAGACTCATGAATTTGTCTCATGCAATAATACATATTGAATTAATAATTTTGTAAATGTTTGTTTGCATTTACTATTCAGTAAATTTTTAGTCTTTCATTAGCGTCCAAGTACATACCAATAATATTGTTTGAAATAAATATGCGTGATATATTAATAGGAAAGATAAAAGATGTAAAAAATTATCGAAAAAATAATATATGCCTTCTCGTGAAGTATTTTTATGTAGAATGATAATTTTTTAACAATCAAATATTTATAGAGAGATAAAAAATTAAAAAACATTATGATGATAAAAAATGCTTATATCACTGTAACTGATAAGAACATAATGCTCAGTACATAGTTACAGCCGAATACTTCTGAGTGCTTTTTTCACTGTCTTCACTGTATGTTGAGTTCTTCGTATATTGGTGGAGGGATGATATAATATTTGATGATTGAGACTAGCATTTACAACTGCTTTGAAAGCAGCCATAAGCACTTGTTATCAGTGCTTTTTCATGTTTATATCTTGAAGACTTCATCAATTTCATACTTCACTCCCTAAATATTCTACAACATATTTTGCATAATCACAAATTCTGTATCAATGCCAAGAATAAAGTTAGACTGCTTACAAGCTGATGGACAGTATGCGTTTATCACAATTGAAGTATTCAAATATCCTATCTTGAAAATAATCATCCTTTTTATCAATCTAACAATGTGCTACTAAGCCAATTTGACCTCAGATTTATTCTAACATGCAATATTAATTCCATTGCTGTAATAATTGCGTAATTTGTAAAACTGTCTTGCTTTAAAAAAATTAAATGTTTGGATAGCATAGCCTTATTTTAAATTTTTTGATTTAACTTAGAAAGTTTTATTTTGATCGGTGATAGATAGGACAACATATTAATTTCACTTACTACACATTCAAATTTTTTCTGACATGCTGAAATCGCATGCAAAATTTTGCTCTCCAGCATGATGTGAAGAAGAAGTCTCATCTTGGAAACGCTATCACAGCAAGCACTACTAATATAATTTAAAAAGAAGGAATTATTTTGAAAGTGATTTCGCTTCTCTCTGAAAAACATCACAACTGCGTTTAAAGACTGAAAAGCGAAATTCTTGCGAAGGTGTGGTTAGAAATGGAATAATCAAATATTACCACCAAAAGTGATAAAAAAGACTGCTAAAGCGAAATATATGGTTGAAATGTGTATGTATTTTATGTAATTATACATAAACTGATTATCTGAAAAGCTACTACTGCCAATAGGGCGTCTCGTAAACGTTCCTTACAAAGTGCAGTACTGTTACTAAGAACTAAACTCAAAATCATTTTATCAGCTTTCTCAGTCTGTCATTTCTCAGAGAGATAAATTTTTTCCTTAATCAGACTTGCATTTATAATTTTTAAATTTTGCTTGACAATCAAAATCGCAGCAGCTTAAAAGATTATTCAGCATTATTGTGCAATTGAAATAAATGTTGCAGAAAGAGTAAAAAAGGATACTGTAGACTTGGAATGCAAAAAATACAAAATAAAGCAATCTAACGAGCTTTATATATCATATATTGTATTATTTTGAATAAAAAACAACAAGCAATGCAATTAATAGCCACAAACCAGTGGAAAATTTGTCATTCAGAGTATTGTAACAGTGAATAAGAATGTAAGTGATCAAAAAGAACCCATAAAATGCGATGCTAAATTAATACTTCATTTGTGAAACTGAACCACTTTTTTATCCACTTCATTAATTAGCAGCAAAAATTTTGTATTAGGAACTTGTAAGCGCCGAAGAGCAATTTTTCATCAGCGCTTGTTCTTAAGAGCAACTTACCAGTTTTATTCATCGATAAACTTAGATTTTAAAAGTCAGTCAGAGTTGCTTACTTATAAAATTACACATTTATCTGCAAACAGCTCGTTATTTGGTAAATAAATAAGTCCTTCTCGTTGAAGGATTGAAAAATTTTTTTTCTGCTTTCATTTAAAATATATACTGAAATTTTAGTTATTTTATCTCCCAAATACTATTATTATGTAGATTTAAAAGTTTAGTGCTATCGCTACCACAGCACGGATGGCCGAGTGGTCTAAGGCGCCAGACTCAAGCGAATAGCTTCACACGAGTTCAGTGTGTGTAAGGGGCCTTCTGGTATCGTAATCGATGCGTGGGTTCGAATCCCACTCCGTGCACTACTTTTGCCAAATTCATACTATCTCAACCTGTGTAAACAACTAGATTAATACCTCTATCCCATAATCCCGCACAGACATATTTGTATAAATCCACTTTAGTGCATTAGCAGTAAATTTATATGCTATAATTGCATACCATTATTCTCACAAGTTTTTCTGTCTGAGTATTTTGGGGCATTCAAGTTGATAATTTCACTCCTAATTCACTTCCACTATATTCGATATGATGTTATAAATAAACAATTTATAATGTATATCATTAAACTACCGATACAAACGAGAAAATAAAATAATTTTGTAAGAAAACAAAAAAACTATCACAAAATTTAAATGTATTTTCTGAGTTTTTTGAAGACAAAATCATTTATGAACGAACAATTTTGATAAAGTACCAGAAAGCTAAAGATACTATCTAGCACTAACCAAATTTGAAGACGAAAATTACTGGAAGCCAAAATACGACGAAGAGAATTGTGTACTTAATATCTCACGGGAATTTATAAATGCCCTAAACTCATTCATAAATTTCAATTGATATCTCCCATAACAAAACGATCAAGTCTACTTCGTATGTGAGCTTCTCTCCTTTTTATATCTTGAAAATGATGATTAATCAAGTGATCTGGAGTAAACACTCCCAGTACAACACAGAATTAATTTGGTAAGACATCAAAGAGAAACACAGATGATCTGAACTATGTACAGTACATCCATGTACAAAGCCGTAATTGTACTAAGATGCATAATATCACAACTGTGTATGAAAGAGAGAGATAAGAATGTAGAGTTGTACAAAATTTTGAAAACATGACTTAATCAATAACAAGTTACCTTGCGTATCAACCAATGAAGAGTAATCAGTACCAATAAAAAATAAAATGAAATAAAATGAAAAATAGAATTTTTATTCTTCTATATGTGCAAATAACATATTTCACCTGCAGTAATCAAACAGTTTCAAGTGAAAGACGCAATAAAGAGTAATATTTTCATAACTTCATAAAAAAATCTGATATTTTCTTAGTCGACGGCTTTGAAATTTCCTGTACTTTATTATTTTTACGCTTCTTAAGAGACTTGCCCCGCAGCTGAAGACTATGAGTGGTAGTTTTCTTTTCTGTCTTCATGTTAACCACGATTTTTACATCCTTATCTTCTTGCTGTGTAATTTTTTGAGAAAGATTCACATCGGCCTAAAAATGGAAAAGTTGAAATATTATTAAGCGTAAAAGTGAAAAAAAAAAGTTTCGCTCCTATTCCAAAAGCAATAAAAATTCTGAATGTCAAATTACTTTGAATATTAAACTGATATTACAAAAACGAGAACAACACAGCAAAGTACTAATAACTACTAATAACCGATTTTTAAAAGATTTATCCACTGAGGTAAACTGAAGCTTTTCGCTGAATTTATTAGAAATAAAAAGTAGTTGGATTTGTAAATTCTAGAAAATGAAATAAAACTAATCATATCTACCGCAATAGGTGAGATCTTGTTTGAGATCGCTTCTACCGTCCTTTTTGAGTTGCCCATCCTTAAACTGGAGGTGTTAACTACTACTCCACTTATTGTTTTATCAACTGCTTTTGTAACCCATTCTGTGATTTGTTTCGAACGACTATCGATTCCTTCTCGAAATCGATCAGCGGAAAGCGATATATTCTTCACAGTTGGATTCCTATTAGAAAGATTTCATATTGTAGA